CGAAAATAAAATGGCTAAAATCGTATAATGCTGCATTTTCCAATTTAAGAGAAATGTTTTTATTTAATAACATTTTTGTATAATTTAAATAAAACACTTTAACGGTTTAAAACGCGATATATTAGTTAATATTATTTGAAAATTATTATAACTACCGACGCCCCGACGTTTCGGAAGCTTTGCAATAGCCGGGGTCACGGAGAGACTAAAGATGAAGGACTCTACTATTAGGGGCACTCGTTAAAAAGTGATTACAATTCAGTAAGACACATACGTACATTCTTTAATATTTCCGCTGTATGTTAGTCTTATTCCAATATAACGCCAGGTAAAATCTTTTAAACGCCGTCAACTTTGTCCAATTACATATTCTTTAACATAGAAAACAAATTCTAATGCGTTACTGAAGCTGTCAATTGTGGTTACAATTCTTTTTAACACGTTAATAAGAGAATTTGGTGTATGGTATGTGGAGGTCAAATAGACGAGGCGTGAAGGTACGCTTGGCATCTCTAGCTATGTCACTTGGTGCCTCACAAATATTCATCTTATTTCAGGGCGTGGGATCGACTTGTACTAGGAACGCGAACGCTAAGTAGAAAATAGACTCTATAGTTATATATATGTCAAACCGCGTTTTTCATACGAGCGGACAAATTTCGGTCTTTCATTCATTGATTCTTGGAAATCTATCTATGGAGACAGTTGTCTATAGACGGTATTTCAAAGAAAATACGCCGTATATAATAAAAAAAAAATGTATCTTTTTACTTCGTAATGTTATCGTGAAGTAACATCAATTATAAATGAGTTTGTTGATGCGTTTGATTTCGAGGTTCAGATTTGGTCTAATTTAATTATTGAATAATTCAAAAGGAAACACATCATTTAAATTCAGTCTATGAAATACACAGAAATACGCTCCATGCCTTATTAAAGATAAGTGGGATTGTACAGTTATATAACGATATAGTTAAAAGAGTAGTGAAATATTTGCAGCAATACAAACTCAAACACTAGTGAATCCTAACAAAAGGCAATTAATCGTAGCCCACTCATTATCTTCGACAAGCTTTAAGATTTATTTCTGCAATATCTATCGATAAACAATATCGTCGTACGACAATAAAAAATATGAAAACAAGTAGATTTTACGCTCCTTAAATTACAATAAAAATATTTTGACGTCGAACCAGATGGCTTTCATTGTAAAGTACCCCTACTTAACACTTTGTTAATGGTGTCATTCCCCCTTAACGAGGGGTTAGCTAACGACTTGAGCCTTATAATAACGTCTAATAGCGCTGGATATTTCTCTGAGCTAAGTGTATGTACCCCCTTATTTTCCATTCGGAGTAATTGCTATAATGAGAATAATTAACAGTGTAGTTCGAGGAAAATGTGACAGGAGACAATTAAAATTTGCGGATCATTTACTCTTCGTTTCAATCCATTAATAACAGATACGGACAAGTTCCTCTTTCATAGAGGTTTGAGGTCTTACCCTGCCATAAATTGCATTAGTCTTTTATGTATCAAGCTGCGAAATAAAATATAGAAATATATAACACAATCTTTTAAAACATGGGAATTAATTTATTTTTAAAAACGACCCGACGATTGTTGTAAATCTGGTCTGACCACGATTGTTGTAAATCCCTAATGAACCAATATTTGTCGCGTTTTAAATCGTTAAAGCTATGTAATGAGTCCCACGCATTAATGCAGGCATCCAATTTCCTAAAAATTGTTAACAGTAATAAGATGTCAAACTTATTTACCACAACAAACTTTAGAAGATATAATAAAAGCGTCATATTATATATCCCCCAATATTCTGAGTTATGGCTCTTTAATCTCAAAACAATCACGGTAAACCTTATAATTATGAAGAAACAATGCAAACGTGCAAAATTATGACGAAAGTCTTTATACTTAAGGTCGGATTTTGCTTAGAACAATAATGTCTAAGGTAAAGGTGGCTTAGTGATTTGACAACGGTCCCTCGGAGTGTTTTTGTCAGCGATAAGTATAATGGAAATTCGATTTATTGCGATATACAGGGTAGAAGCCCATTATAATTGTTACCTAGAAGGTAGGATGTGTTAAGTTTGTGGAGTTCTGGTATTTACTAATGTTATGTGGAAAAATACATTTAAAATCATACAGTGTACTGTTGTATTGTAAGTTATAGTATCGAAAGATAGCTAAAGTTTAAATACTACAATCGAATTTAAACAAACTATTGAATGAACCGGTGAATATATATCTATTCGCGGGTTTTATTTCAAGTATATACTCAGGTACTTTCGTAGGTTTGCGTAAAATTGAGACTCACAGATTTTATTATTTATTTCACATCTACTTCATAGTTTACAATTTGTGTATGTAACAATGGCATACAAACATTTACTTCCCACCAAAAAGAATGTTAAAGCCACACATTGAAGCCTAATGTGATAAAACAGAATTGGTCATACCTTTGAAAAATAACCAAAAATATAATAAAAAAAAAATACGTATTTATTCATTCTAAGGTGAATTAATAACGTTTAGCTATAAGACTTAAAAGCTAAGAAGGTCATTTCTATTCTTTTATTTAAAATAACCCCATTGAGAAAAGCATTTAAATCCCAGCATTATACAACAAGGCCGTCGCTATGGAGCTAGAAAACTAAATTTATACAGCCGTTATCATATTTTTATACCCCCTTAAAGCTACTGTAAACGAATGAATCTACGTTGAATTATTTGATACTGTAATTAGTAAGACCAGCCTCGTAACGCGTTACGTTATAGAGAAATATAACCTTCAATAGGAAGTTATAGCGGCCAAAATAACTACAACGCCACATCAACTAAAAATGAGATCAGCATATCTTTGTTTTTCGGGCTGTTCGGCCGACGTGAGCGAGAACAAGTTCTCGACGTTGCGCCATCACGTGCGGACGGCATCATCATCAGATGTTAACTCCTCGATTGCTCGAAGAATTAGCTAATTCTTGATTTGATGGTGAAACGTCGAGAACCTCTTCTCGCTCACGTCGGCCGAACAGCACGAAAAACAATGATATGCTGAACGGTGGCCGTGAAAGCCTTACACAATTTACAAATATGAGATCGTTGTAACTCAGACATTCGTGGCCTAACAAGATTAAAAAACAATAGATGTTACATTTTCCTCTTCCTTATCTTATTACTCGGAAACAAATCCTAACAATTGTGTCGTATGGACGCCCTACGCTGAGTCGTTGTCTGCCTTTTTGTTTATTAAGTTTCCTTTATACAGATTTTCTTTCTTCGCTGAATAATATATTGGGAAATATTTTACTTTGAAACAACGATTGATATATTTGGGGCATCTCTTATTAGATACAGAATATTGATTGGATGAACCAAATGCACCAAACAGACTTAAATGAGGTGACATCCTATGTTTCATACGATTTAAATATACTATAAAACAAGAACCTCATTCTACTAGTGACGATGTAAGATCTTATTAACCCCTACTTTTACCACATGACTTTGGCCACTTTCAAGAAGTAACTATTGAATGTTCGCATGAATTAATTTAAAATTTGGGTAGTTTTAATATATGTAGTAAAGTGATTTTAAATAAATAACAGATAAATGTTTCTAGGCCGAATTAATCTACAGTTATGAAGTGGCAACATCAGATGATTGCATTGGTTTTTAACATTTACTATTCGTATATCTGGAAGACCTAAAAAGTTAATATTTGTGTAGCGAAGGTACTACATAATGTAGCTAAGGAAACTACATGTTGCGTGTTCTGATTGTAATAATGTATTAACCAATAACATGGGTATTTATGTATATGTGTGTGTGGTCGTGCTACAGAGCCATGTGTGAGCCATTTATGTGCAAGTACAATAAGTTCCGATGACATGTCAGAATTAACCAAACCAAGTCATCAAACGTCAGGCGGTAGTTACTCCGTGCCTTCAATACTCCCCTTTGAAAAAAGAATATGCAATAAATCTTATTGTCAAAACCATAAAAACTTGTAAAAATAACCACGCAAAATATAAAACATTGTAAAACATGTTAAAGTAGATATTTAAATTGAAATATAGAATTTACAAAGTCAAGTTTTGTTTTTTTTTTGCTGACAAGGAGAATAACATCATGATAAAAATCTTCGTAAATAATACAAGGTTGCGTATAACGATGTTTGTTTTGACCGTCCTGTAGCAAACAAGTTTTTGTCAAATCCGAGGGTACACGCAACACCACTTTGTTTTATGTCAATCCCCTTTTGTTGGACCTACGGCTAACCTGACTTATGCTTCATTATGCCTAAAATACGGGCGAACGTAATATATTTGGGTCCAAGGTCGATAGCCCTTTCTTAATCGAATGAGGATAGTATCTTAGTTACGTACGTTTTAATGGTTCTGGTTACAAACAAATACAACATTTGATTCAACGCACTATAGTGTATTGAATGGTAAATATATATTTTTTGCCATAATTTCTTCCTTATCAAATAAAAATATAGAATTTACAAGTCGAAAGCTCTAAGCTTATTTTATCTTATCAGAGTATTTACAATTGTCTTAATCAAAACGATTAAACAACTATCGTTTACTATTCACACATTTATCTATTATTTACGCATTAATAAAAACCATATCTATACATTTCTATTTGACGTAAATTATAAAAAATGTAATTTCGAGTAAATTAATTGTTTAAAAAAATTTGTAATTTAATACCGTCTATAGTTTACGCGAGTAGTACACATTTAAATAAAACACTTTAACGGTTTGAAACTCGATAATAAATAAATAATCTAAGGCTCGATAAATAAATAAATAAAAATAATGTAATAAGCATAAGTAACAATATTTGTTTTTTTTCTCTTCGCATTTGTACTTATTGACGTGTTTCATTTGAAATTAAATAGCCTATAATCAAGTGCGTAAATGTTTTCCCCGATGACGTTTAAAAACAAAAGAATGTTTTTTGTTCTTCTATGTTCTAATCGCTTCTTCTATCCGAGAGCAAGTCGGCTGTCGTAATACGTCAGCTGAAGTTGACTTGATGCAGTTGTTCATGTGCATGTCAGATGTATTTGAATGATGGTGCTCCCGGCGATGCATTTGGGCGCAGTAGCGACGGCCGATATTGCCGCACATAGATCTGCGAAATATATCAGTTCTGAATACTTGTATATTTTCACATGCTAAAAATCGAGTTTAGTTGAAAAAATTACGACACGGCCAGAACATGAACCGGCATTTAAAAAAATCTAAAATCGATTTTTTATTAATATATCAGTTTTAATCTAAAAATCAAACTTAGTAAAAAATATATCTATCGCTTACCTAACAGACGAAAAGAATAAAAAAACTTCCCTAAGTAATAGAGAGTGTAACAAAAGGGTAGGTATGTGACATCAATTTATTGTAAGCTTCAGGACTGAAGGATCAACACCGTAGTTATCAGAAGGTTAACACTCAAAAGATCCACCTTACATTTGCTTATATATAGCTACTTTACTTATATTTAGCTACTTTCCAGCTAAACGAACCATAAGTTACAATTATTGAAAACGTTAATATATTAAAGTATAATATATTAAGCTTTTCAAGTAGTTATTATGTTTTCCCGGGAATCAAACCGGGCAACGTAATACGAGTAACATCTGAGCAACGGTGTCAATTACAATATCTTTGAATTAAGTACTGTCTATAGTTTACGCAACTAGTACACATTTTAATAAAACGCTTTTACGGTTTAAAACGTGATATATTAGTTAAACTTATTTGTAAATGATTTTTATCTTCGGCCCGACGTATCGGATGCTTTGCAGCAGGCGTGGTCTCGAGACCACAGCTAATGTAAAGCACGTTATAAACCGTTAAAGTGTTTTATTTAAATCTTTGGATTATTCAATTATCATAAATGTTTCAAAACTTTAATATATTTCACATCTTATTGCATACGATGGCATTCTATAAATTAAAAATCTAATTATATTTTAAAAAATTACGACGTACTTGAAGCGGTATCTAAACAGTTTCCAGTCCCTTTTTTCAATCTAAAATCGATTTTTAAATTACAGTATATTTCATTAATTTATCATTCGTTAAGCAAGATGCAAAGTTTACCTGCAACAGGAGTCCAACGTCTTCCTGAAAGCTGCTCTGAAGTCTCTGTTAAAGTAGGCATAGATGAGTGGGTTTAGAGCCGAGTTAAAATACCCCACCCAAAAGACCGCAGCCACAACAGGCGGGGGGGAGGGGCAAGCTTCGCCACAGAGCGCTGTTATTATGTACCTAGAGCAATAATATAATTAGCTAGTTAATTTACGTTATAGTTATACAGTAGCAAATAAATATTATAGGTTATAACGGACCGTGCACTGCACGGTTTTCATGCTCGGCGAATATATTTACAAATTTAGAAAGAAACAAAATAAATGTATAAATAAAAAAATATATATATATAAAAATAAATGTATTTAAAGTTGGTTCTTTTAGTGTTAAAAGAACACTTTTAGTTATTCCTTGAAACAAAAAAAAAAAAAAAATTTTTTCGAGCACTCGAGGAGTTAATTCCTGATGTGCCCGCTAGGGAAACGAGAACCTCTTCTCGCTCACGTCGGCCGAATAGCCCGAAAGACAATGATATGCTGAACGATGGCCGTGAAAGCCTTACACAATTTATTAAAATAACTGTTTTACCTGTAATGTTATTCGTAAAAGTAGGTACAATTTGTGTTGTGTGAACATAACAAGCGAACGAACACTGTAGTTCAACATATGTTGTTTCATTATAATATTATAATTACACTCATTGGGCATTGAGTAATATTTAAGTATAATAAAACATAATTGACTAGTTATTAAGTTGTTACAAGGTTATAATCTTTTAATAAATGCAAAAAGGCAAACACAAACAACGCTTGGATATTTTTAACAAAGCTCTTTAAAAAATGTTTTTTTTTCATAATTATTTCAATGTAACATAAAATGTGTTGATTATATTGAACGAGCACTATCTATTAAGTTTCTTATTAAAATTATATTAAATTTTGTTATCTCAGAATATTTTTAATAGCCCAATATGTAGTATCGTGATATGCAAGAATAGCTAGTCAAGTGGTGCAGAAAGGGTCGACTAATACATCGAGATTGACAGATATAATGCAAGTATGTCAAGTTGTGACCCTGAACTTGTAATCGTGATATCTAGAGCGATCTTATCTCTGAATAGTAACTTTAGATATTGGAATATCACCGCTATTTCAACTTAATTTATCTTTACATGTATAGATATATCATTTTTATTTTATGTACTACAAGACGGTTTTCTATTTATAAACTTATGCTTTGTGCGATACATAATTTGATCCTAATTTATTTTACTTGCTGTCTGGCATTGCGTTAAGTGCAAGAGGTTCTGGGTTCAAACACCAGAGAAATAATAGTCTGGCAGAAGAGGGAAGTGAATTAAAAAAAATCTAAAATAGTGGTAACAATAACATAAATGGAAAATTCCACTCGTGAGTCAGGAAATTAATAACCGTCACGGATTATAGGTATGTAAGGTATTTGTTTCAGTATGTGGATTTCCAAATATATAAAGCCAAAATAAGTCGACAACACATCTCGTTTAGATGTTATATGAGTTCACCTACCATCAAGTGAATGCTTATCCTCATCCATCATAAAAAATATGCATTTCAATAACACAGGAAGTCAGAAAACAGACTATAGACAGTTCGAAACACGATTTCTATTTCAGCTTTTTTGTCTGTGAACCGGAACTTACACAATCCCGTTTAATGTAAAAATTTCTCCGACTCTGTGAAACTTGCTCAGAAAAATTAGAAAATATATTACACTAATTACAACAGGGAGTTGAACCCACGGTGATATTAACGAATTGCAGTAAAAAAACAAGACCCTTATACATTAAACGAGTTCGATACAGTTTGAACTTTCTTATAAACATAATAACATTATTAGGCCGTGTTATGGCGTGCTGAAAATTATAGCCCTTGAGCGAAATTACATGTTTAATAAATAGAAGTTATTATTTTCTTCTTCGTAAGTGGATCGATGTTTTATTTTTGGCTAACATTTAGTTCACTGTTATTACGCTATGGCGTGCCGAGAGAGGTCGTGTAAATTGGTAATTGAAAAAAACATGTAGCTACACATATTTTTATAATTCTTTAAGTTTAAAAACATTTTTTTTAGTTTAAAATATATCTCGCAAAAAAGAGAATCTAATTAACATAGCGTGAAATCCTCTCTTTTATGCGTTTTCTGCAGTTTACGCGAGTAATACACGTTCAAATAAAATACTTTTAACGGTTTAAAACAATGATAAAGCCGTGAAGTTTAATCGTGTTTCGGATCCAGTGTTTGGATATCCTAATATCCAAAGTAAAAATAGGTCGGTAGAGCATCTTGTTTAGACCTTATATGGCTGGGGTATTATACCGGCCATCAAGTTATTTGTCTGTCCTCTATGATTAAAAAAAGTAATTACTATTAGTTACCACAAGAAAAACGGCAACCAGCAAGCGAGAAACGCAGACATGATGATTCCAAGTGTCCGAGCTGCCTTCCTCTCCCTCTTCATCTTGCTGCTGGCCATCGGCTGCATCTGGATGCTCTGCCTCTCTCGCATCACGTCACCCACGGAGATCCCGTTGATTTGCAAATGTTTATCCAGCAAGAGGGCAGCAACTTTACTCCTGCATAACAAAAAAGTATATTTATATAATTTTGTTCATGTTATTGCACATGATGGCACTATATAAAGAACCAGAGTAATTTTTATTTCATTTTATTTTTAGTATGGCCTATACTCGGGAATACCGCCATTTAAATAAAAACCAAGTAAATTAAACACTTTTGACAGTTTTAAACATGACAAATAATAGTAAACTCGTGTATATTTATTTTGATTTTGACCCGACGTCGGGTCGAATGAAATGGCCCCAGTGACCCGACGCTTCGCTTTACGTTTTTAAAATCCAACTCCAATCAAATTAGTCCAGATAGCACAGGTTGAAATAACTGAACTCCGCAAGTCGACTGACTCACGTTTAGGTACTGTCAATTTGAATCAATCTAGGATCCGATCAACCCTATTCACATTCAAATTTTCCGTCCAATTACCATGTTTTCGAGTCACGTAGGAGCACAGAGGAACTTTTCACTTGTCAAATTATGCGAACTCCTCTCGGAATAATCCGGTTTCAAATGGCCGTGTCTCATTAGGACATTTTTCATAATGGCCAATTGTAATTTGTGCTATCGAATTGACCATAATAGAATAAAACATTGTCATGTTATACTTTTTTATATGATGACATCATATTATGATAAATTCCTTTTCCTCTGTCACTTCTGTCAAACGGCCCGAGACGAGAAGAAATTTCTTTTTCATTAATTGTGTTTAGATACCTAAGCAAGGTAGCCTTAAAATAAATACATGTTTTTTTTAATACTCAAAATCGTGATCGAATCATTAAGTTAATTTTTAGAAAAAGTTAAATTTTTGATATCGTAGCCTCAATGCGTGTTAAATGTTATGTATTTTGTGAATCAAATTAAATACATATTTATATTTTTTTAGTTTCTATCTGAAAATCAGTAGAGCAGCTTGTCCACTACGTTACCGAAAGTTAAATCTCGTTATATTAATTTAACAATAGAATTAAAAATTATGAATTCGAAGAAATGAACAACAAACAAGCCGTCAGCGGTCGCCGCTGTAAATTTGTAATAATTTGAATAAATCCACATTAATATTCAAGCAGAAGTAATTTGAACACAAAGAGCTGGTTCGTTGATATCGGTTAGAATTTCCTTTACAAGCTGATTTCGGTCTGGTTATTAATTATATCGGATTGAAGGTAGCCATTTGGTTTATTAGCTTGGAATTGGAACACGTATTAATTTTATCTCGTGTTTTCATTCGCATTTTGAAGTGATTACTTCTTATGGAAGGCTGAACTGCTTTAACGTAACGAGTTGTAGAACCAGTCTATCTTCCAATTGCGGAATTGAATAGTCTGTCGGGCTTCAGAACTTAAATAATAATTAATGAAGCACTATTTATGTAAAATATTATGCTGATAAGATATGTTATATTAGACCCATATAGCATTATTTAAATATGAATTAAACAAAATAAGACAGTGGAAAAGAAGTAAGTTCCTTAAAGTAATTGATATTCATATATGTTTAAAAAACAGCGTATATCTCTAAGATTAGGATAAATATGTATATAAATGAACAGTGAGTAAAATAATTTAACAAGTATATTTCCCGTTTTAAACAGTTATAAGTGCTCTTTAAATATATTAATGTAAACAAAGCAAAAATAGATACAAAAAAGTGTGTCTAGAAAATCAAATCCTTCTAGAAGAAAATCCTTGCAAACTCGTAAACGCAATTCCGGACCTTGCACCAAACTCACGCTAACGTTTTCTCGTAAAAGTGACTGAAATTAACTTAACTATGTATTTTAACTTTGAAGCTGGATTTTCTCGCACGGAAAGTAATTTAGTTTAGAAATCTCCGCTTGTCCTACCGTAGAATGGAGATTGGTTCAGAAGAAAGGAATTATGGTTTCACGTTAACGAAAATGTGGCTTACAGTGTAAAATTAGGTTCAAAGTTTTTGTAGATATTTTATTTGCAAAGCGAAACGAGAGCCATATTTTAGTTAAAAACAACAGTACATTTAATAATCGTCTTAACATAACACACATTAGTGGGTTTTAAACAACAAAAACATGAAAATAAAATATTTGAGTAGTTCATTGATGAAGACACAATAATAAAATGCCTCCTAAAATATATTTCGAAGTTATTAATAGCTTAAGTACAATCTGTAGTTTACGTGAATGGTACACTTTTTAAGAAAACACTTTTAACGGTTTAAAACACATAATATATAACTTATTTACATTTTATTTAACTGTGGCTCGACATTTCAGATGCTTTGCAACAGGGGTGGTCACGGGGGGACTGATGATGGAAAGTGTCCGTAACATTAAAGTAAAAACTGCTACGCTAGCGTCATCTCTTTCTTCATATTCGGTATTTGGAGAAGCTGGCTCTTTAATATGTTTCGCCTTTTAAACCGTTAAAGGGGTTTTATTGAAGTAAGTATAGCTTACTATGGGAATAATAAATTAGCTTTAAATACAATAATGCTCACCTATATAGCATCCTCTCCTGTCTATCTGCTTCTACATAGATCCTGTAGTACATAAAGATCATGATGACTCCGGGGATCCAGAAACTAACGCTGCTTGATATGACTGCGTAGACCTTGTTTACCGTAAAACTGCAAATCTTAAAAGAAATAGGAAGTATTACATTAATGTCAATCCTTATAAACATTACAAACTAACTTCTGCTTAATTGGAACATAAATATTTCGTTTCGCTGATATTCTTGGCTTCAGTTTCCACGTGTGTCTTAGAAGTAAAAAAAAAGATAAATCCCATTAACCCCCGTTGCCCCGTTCTCCCATGTGGCGAACTCCGAAGCCGGCAAAGTCCGTTACACTGAACGCTTCTTTTACAGACAAGACCTCGATCAGAATCCTGTGCCCTGCCCGATCGAAACAATCTATTGTTTCTCTGGGCTTTTAACCCAGGACATGTTTTGACCAGGTTCACCATTAAGCTACAGAGGTGGTCTATTAAATTACCCTTAACTGTGTAAAAAATGTTCTAAAATAGGTTTAAATTTAAAAATCGAAAAAAAATAAAAAAAAATTCGCCTCGGGCAGGACTTGAACCGCGTATGCATCCATGCTGTTGCTCTACCAATTGAACTACCGAGTCCTACACCTCATCGTCAATTTTTTCAACTTATTGATACATACACCTCTCGCGCAATAGGTTTAAATTGTTAATGTATCAACTGTGTTTTATTATAGTTAAACAAGTGAATTTAAAATGTGATATCGTTTATTTTTTAAATTTGTATACCTTTGGATGTCGTCTCCGGAATTCCAGGTGTTCCAACGTGGTGTACCAGCCCATGAAGATCGGCAGAAAGGACACTAGTGCAGGGCTACACCAGACCACGGCCAGCATGACTCCTAAACGACCAGTCGTCATTATGAGGGGGTAGTCCAGCGGCTGCACTATCGCATAATATCTGTCAACGCTTATACAGCACAGGTGCAGAATGGACGCCGAAGAAAAATACACATCCAAAGAGTTCCACACATCACACATGAAGTAGCCGAACAGCCATTCCCCATTCGTTATCTCCACGCTGAAGTTGAAACACATCGCCCAGATCGCGACCAGCATATCTGCCAGCGCCAGAGACACAACGAAGTAATTGGTGATAACACGCAACTTTCTGTGCCTCATCACCGATACGATCACCAGCAGATTCCCGAAAATGGCTGCCGTTATAATAAATAGCATAATAATACATTTCAGAACGACAAGAAACACAAAGAACGCTTCATCCTCGAACTGGTTCGTGTAAATCAAATCATTGGTGGTTACATTTATTTCTAGCGAGTGGTTGACATAGCTGTCCGTTAGATACATGGATGTGGATAGCTCCCGAAAGTCCAAAGTGAAGTTTTCCTTTAAGACTATATCAATTTCCCTCATGTTTTCATGTTAAGTTATGTTGATTTCTTTTGTCAGTTTAAAAGGGTCGATCGTGCGCAGATTTCGATCTGAAGTGCGACCCATTGTCCTCTTGTTACCTGTGAAAGAAAAACTTTTTTATTTCTTTTCTACGTGTTTGTTAGGATTGGTGTTTGGGGATTTGTATTTTTACGGTCGGGAAACTATTAAACGTTTAGGGGAAATTTACTTTTGTTTGTCTGTAAAAGGTCGCGCTCAATTTTCTCGTACATTCAACATATTATTTTAACGATAGAGAAGTGTATACGGAGTAATATTTTTGAAAATTTATTTTACTTTGAAAAAGTATCTTCCAAATAAAACTGTAGGTTTGTGCGTAGCTTCACTTCAATTAATTAGCAACTAATTCGATTTTGTTAAGCCTTAAACGTTCAACGAGTACCTTTTTTTAACTAAACTTTAAAAATAGTTAAAAATCAACCATAATTTGAAAAATTGATACACGTTGAAGAAATTTGATGATGATGTGTAGAACACGGCAGCTCACATGATCAGAGCAACAGCACGGAACACTTAGGATGCCGGTTCGAGGCCTGCCCGTGTCGTATTTTTTTTCAATTTATAATAGATTTTAATGAAATGACAACAATAAAAGAACCTTCCTGACCATAACCTATGGAACAACATGTAAATGGATATTTATCATAATATCAAGAGCCGAAAAACTACATAATTTATATGAAATATATCTGGGCGAGGGTTATAGACGGAGTGGATTATTGCGCTCAAATTATTCACCACTTGACCTGATAGTTAACAACTCTTCTGTTATAATTTTTCATTTGAATTTCATAATTTTAAAAATTCTAATTTTACCCTGTAGTTTTATAAATTTCTCGTTCTGAAATAATACCTTAGTTAGACTGTATCTTTGGATTCGATTATTTCTTAGATAGGTACATATAATCATATAAAATACTTTTAAACGTAAGAATAAACAATAAAACTATCACGTTAAAAAATGACCAAAATTAACCCACGGGAAAAGATTCTTTTAAATCTCCCGTGGTCACTGCACGACTGTTGTAAAGCATAAAAAACTACGGGTCATAGTTAAACATTATGTTGCTAAAATAGAACGCCTTTATGTGTTTTCAATCAAAAGTACCCACAGATAATAGCTTATGTTGCCTGAGCCATTGTGACAAATTATTTAATAAAATCAGTTCAGTATTTTAAATGCCGGTGTGAAACATACGTCAATTATCTGCCAAAATATGACAATCATAGTGCAAACAATAGTTTAAACCAGTAGAATGAAACATTCAACACAAATTACAATTACAAATATACTATCAATATAACCGGGTCGCACTGAAATGCGTGTAATTACTTATACCAATATACTACAGGTGTCCGTTTTACTGTAGGGATACCATATAATTTATTATTTAAGACTATAACTTACTTGTATTCTACAATGCTTATTGTTATTATTTAGAATAGCATATTGGGAATAAGAAAGAACTCTCCAGCGCATTGAGGGACAATGGTCAAAACAATTATACAAAAATTTGTCAGTTTTGTGTTGCAGAGTTAAGATCTTTATGAACGTTTCTCATGCACAAAACAAACTTATTGGATACTTGAAAATACTAAAGAAAAAAACTGTGTAAAGTCAAAGTCACTAGTTAAAACACAATTAGACTCTTTTAGAAATTTACATTTGCTACAAGTTCTGAAATCAAGGGCCTAGAACTGGCATGAAACTTGTTTTCTTCCTAAGTTTCATTTTCCAGTCTTCACATACTCTTGAGTTTAATTTGTAACGCTTAACATACTATTACAAGTGCTTGTAAACCATCTCCATAAGTAACAAAACGTTTGTTTAAACAACGCGTAAAATGTCCTGATTTCAAATTTTAGACATTTTTAGAGAATTTTAGACAAAAGTGTTATAGCATGGCCGGGTAATAAAGAAAAACATTTTAAAGTATTATTTTTTATTGATAGAAGAGGACCGCATGCATGGGGTTTATTACCGGCAAATATTCAAGCCTATAGCATCCGAACAAGATGCGAACCTATTTTGGCTTTGGATATTCGGAAATCCACAGACTAAAACTGACACGTGATTAAACTTCACGGCTTTTCGGTGATACGTATTAGAATTTCGATATTTCTACCACACATTTAATATCCAGATTTCCAAAAGAGGTTCAACATGTTTCAGAAAAATGTAAAATGATAAATTAGAAACATATGTACCCGGTGGGGATCGGGGATCGGACCCACGCCCCGTTGATTTTTAGCCGTACATTGCTATTATTTCACCAACGGGTCAATTAAAAGTATATAAATAACTTGCGAACGTTCCTTCGGTCTCTTACATACTCAAGCATATGCCAAATGTATTGCATTCTATCCGAAATAATTTAATATGACGGACACAGCGTAACCTTCGTCCAATTTAAGCGACATCTGTGGCAGTGATTTGTTGGGAACTTGTATGCCTACCCTCAATTTAAACATGCCTTAATTACTTCTCTCCTATTGGTTCTGTATCCCTTTGACGTGGATATATATATATATATAAAACGTATAGCTTTGACAAGTTTTAAGATAAATATTTATTGAACAGAATATACGAATACATTGGATACGTTTGAGTTTTTTATGGAAATCATTTTATTGTTTTGATTTATTTTCATTTAGCCTTTAAATATTATTGAAAGGATAACTCGGCTTCCACTCCTATTACATGTTCATTAGGGGATAAATACAGAGTTGATTTAATGTCGCAAGTATACTTAAAGCCTTGTTTAAAGTCCTGAGAGTGATTTATCACAAAAATACTCAAGTTCCCCATTGGACAAGAACAGTTTAAAAAGTACTGATGCTGCCTAAAACACAATTCTCAGATAGTTCATTTATTATTTAACATAAATAATAAAAGCATTTTTAAATAAAACCCTTATATTTATTTATTTATTTATATATTATAATTATCAAGGTAATAAGGTTTCGTGTCAGTGACTAGGTAAACAATAGTAATTTCAAGTGCTTATATCCATTTTAAGAAAAAGTGGTATAAAAATTGCGTTTTTGTGTTGAAGCTTCTCTTAAATATTATTATTATTTCTGGAAGTTGTTCAATATTTGTACGGAACCCTAAACAAGTAAAACCAAGCGCAAGATAGTATATAACAAATAAATCAACGTGCTCTTAAATACGAAAATGCATCAACTTGATGTATTTTATTTATATATAGATATTCTGTCACTGGCTTTTGTCAACATTCTAAGTCATTGTAACTTGTTTTACAATCAATACAAAATATATAGAAATGAAAATTGTACCTCTCCAAAAGTTAAGGAAATCTAATAGACGCTTCATATAACTTATGATGGGCCGCGATGGGTAATCCATTTACTTGGGATAACTTAGTTTCTCATCCTTGTTTCCATCAATTTCGTCATTTAAAAGGCTATACTTTTACTTACGTTACGTTACGTTACTCACAATCATCTACGCACATCGAAATAGAAAGAAGGTTTGAATTCATAAAAGGAACAGTTCTTTAAATTATACTTTTTTTTTAATATTTTATGAAAAGATTGACATTAATGAGACTTTAATATTTTGCACATGATGGCACTATATACTCTCTGAGAGCAACAGTGAACGCTGTGTATACCGGTTCAAGTCCTGCCCGAGTCGTAAAATTTTAAATTTTTAGTAGATTTTCAATTTACAAACAACAATTTCACTCACGAGCTGATACGAGCCATACCGTTGCTCTTCAATCTAAAATATTGTTCATTGTACATAAGCATTCATGACTTAACGTGATCACATTTTCCAATCAATATGAACTTACTTTAGGTTCGGTTACAACAGCGTCACGCGAAACGAAACAGATAAAAGCTGAACTTTCTCGACGACAAAGTTTTAACGAACGTGAGATAAGAATGGAATGAAGGCGGCTAATTATTTTCCCAAGAAATACAGTGAGAGGTCATTTATTTTGGAGACAATTGTCAAGAAAGGAAAGTTCAGAAATGTTTCTAAAGCCAAAAAGTTTCAGGAGACAATGATCTAAGGCAAAGTAGGTTTAAAACGTGTATAATACTTTACTGTGTATTAAATACTGTCTGTATTAACGCAAGTAGTACACATTTAAAGAAAACACTTTAACGGTTTAAAACGCGATAAAAATGAGTTAAACTTATTTAAACTAAATATAAAAACTATGTGTAAAATCTTGTTTCCTCCATGTTTTAAATAAAACGAACTTAAATAACACACACGTGTACAGAAACAAGTGTTATTTACCGCAAACAATGTTTAAATGTAACAGAATATTTAAACATGCATCTCTTTCGGCCTCAACTGCAGTAAACGTAAACAAACGCTAACTACCTTCATTTTTCTTGAGTAAATACGACGTTCTCAGCATTTTATTAAGACTAATGGACTCGAGTGAGGACTGGTTAGTTTTAAACGTTGCTTTATCTGACCGCGAACTGAAAACAGTTTTTCCGACTTAAGAATCATTTTAGCGCTGCATTTTGTAAAGAAAAGAATAAGTCTCGTATAATATTTTTTTTAGGACTTAGGATTTGAAATATTTCAAGCAAACACATTTAATATGAAAATATTTTACTTTAACATTGTTTATTAGTGCAAATAATACGTAAGTAGGTATTGTGCGTTCGACAAGAAAGGTGAATTATTGCTATTAATTTTAACAATAGTTAAGCTTATTGTCTAGCATTGCGTTAAGTGCGTGAGGTCCTGGGTTTGAATCCCCGTCGAAACAATAGATTGTTTCGGCCGAGCAGGATACAGACACCTGATCAATTACATGCCTGAAATACAACTGATCACGGAAAAAGACTGAAACGTGTTTGCCCTATGCCCCACGGGAGGAAGTAAAATTTTACGTTACTACTATATCATATTCTGTACTGTAATACCAAGGTCGTTAATACTCGTTGATTTAAGATAATGATTAAGA